TGCAGAAGTAGCCAGCGAGAGGTTTTCACAAGGACCTGTTGTGTGGTTGCTCAGATTATATCAGTGTTCTGACTATTGAAAGGGATTTGGCCTTTGGATTTTGCTTTCAGCTTTATTTATTTTTGCCTGTTCTCCATTCTCTTTGTGAATACCAATATTCTGAGTCACTCAGAACGATTTCTGCCTTCATTAAAGATTCCTTCCAGCTCCCCTTCAACTGCCTGTAGGCTGTTGCCTGCCCCTGCCTCCCGCTATGCACTTTGCTGCACATATTTAGCTCTCAGTATTCCATCACTCGTCAACTCCTGCGGCTCTGGCACTTGATTACCGTCAATGTATTAAACTATCTTGTACCTTTGGTTCTTTGCACAACTTGCATTTTACACCTGACCTGTTCTGTACTCTCCCTGCTCCTTCTGAAACATGAGTTCAAGCATGTGAGGTATGGTATGAGGCCATAGTTTATCCCAGTCCTACAGCAGCTCTCCTTAGAGCTGATCGAGTGAAATGGTTAAACCAGGGAACTGGGCATCCAGACCCTTTAGTCTATTTCTGTTACACTGCGTCCTTCTGTGTCACCCTGCATCAATCCATTTACCTATTTGTGTCTTTTGTTTCTTTGATATACACTGATGTTTGAATTCTCTATGGTATCTACATCAAATAAACAGGGTTACGTTTCTAGAAAACCAAAATTAAAAGATGCGATATAAAAAAGAAGTAATTGTGCATTTCTTTAACGGGTGTTCCCACATGAATTGCTGAGCTCTGCGATGCTTTAAAGCTTGTGTATAAGAAATTCTACAAATCAATAAAGAAAATAACCTGGAAAAGGAGGATGGATCTCTTATTACAGCACTAAGTGTCGATACTGTAGATGTCTTAATGCTAGTTAATGACTGTCCCTAATGGTATTCGAACAATGTACATTTGCTTTAGCTTTTTTCAAAGTCCAGATGAGCCGCTCAGAGCTCTCTTAATGATGCGAATTATTTCACGCTCATTTGTATGCAGTATGCTCCTACTTTGAAAGTACTTCACAGAATTCAAGCCAAATTCAGCCTTGCAGCTCCACTGAAGTCAGTGCTTGCCTGTGCATCTGTTGGTTGCTTTTCTTTTTGTTTTTGCTTGAAGAGTTAACTTCTTGTTATGTTCACTTTATGTTTTAAAATGTAATATCTGCAAAGCGTTTTTAGTCACCCTTCTCCCCTCCCAAAAAAATAGCCGAAGTACAAATGCAGTGCTGTTGATTCTCACATCTCCCTCTTAACCCCTGCGAAAGGAGGACACTAAGAATATAAATTTTTTTGTGTTCTTTTCTTTCCTCTACTTTGCACCTCCTAAGCACAGTTTCGGTGATATCTGGCACCTCTCCTGAAAATCATCCTGCAAAGAATCTCTGCCATCTGATGTATGCAAGATACTGAGTTCCTCTCTGTGGCCCATTTCTGGTTTAACACAACATGAAATGATGGAGGCCCAAATCATGTACGATTCTGCAGGTTAGTTATGCTCGGTATAACAATGACGATGTCAGGATGCATTTTCTTATGGCTGAGAGCAATACGGCATGGAAGCCTGGCCTGATATTTTGAGCTGAACTAGCTGCTGAAAGGTGGAACAGACATTCTTAGTTCAGACACAGACTCCTTTTTTAGTGTTGGACTTCATAACCACAATATTTTTATAATGTAATTTTTAACTCATCCCAACTGTGTTTTTAACACACACATTTGAAAGAAAATAAAGCATTATCTGCAATCATATAATTTACTCCCCCTGGGTAATGAGTAGGGGCGTGATTTTCAGCTTAGAGCACAGACCCACAACCATCTACTGCTTGCACAGAGTAAGTGGGAGTAATGGAAAAGCATCCTTTCTAGATGTGCATGTCACTAGAATGGGCAGAGATGTTTCTTGTCAGCTGTTAGATATTTGTTGGCAGCACAGTGAAGAGTGTTGCGATGTGGGAATAATGGGTTTGTTTCCAAGCTCCGCAGCGGATGAATCTAGATGCCCTGTTGCCCTATTTTATATCATATTGTTATAGTATATGACTGTTTCCCTCTCCCTTTCCTCCAGTGCTGTCCTCCAGCCCCTGTCTATGTTCATGTTCTCTACAGCCAGCTCCTTTCTCCTCTCCCCTCAGCCCCTCCCTCCCTCCCCACTGCTTGCCCATCCCTTTTGGCCTGCATCTCTCTTCCCTCTCTCCTGCTGGGGATGGATGTAATCCCCGGAGGAATGTGGCCCACAGGCCTCTGCAGGACTTGGGCGTGTGACTTCGGAGAGCCTCTGATGGTGAATGCAAAGCAGGAAAAAGCAATCTCATGTCACCTGGCAGCACAGGGAGGGAAGAGCTGGATGGCTGTGGGCTGTTCAGTGTGCCTGGCTCTCCAGCCAGCTTATCAGACGAAAAATAGAGGCTAGACTTTTCGGCTGCATGTGCTGTTTCCCTATTCATTGTGTCTGGGTGATGTATTCTCTGCCTGTGGTTTTAATAAGTATCTTTCATAGCTACTTTCTGCTTCAGTCCCCTTTGGCAGGGGGAAGCTGCACCAGTGTGCTGAAGATGTTAAGTCCAAGCGTGTGGAACAGAGGAAAGAGGAGAGAGAACTTCGTGTAGAGCATCTAAGGAAGCTTTAATTTTAACCATATCTCTGTGAAGCTGCTATATATTACACAAACTTCAGCAGTTTAAGTGCAGTTTAAGTTGCACAAAGGTCTCTCGCTTAATCTTATTAACTCTTCTTACCTTTCCTCTTTGTATATCCATAGAGATTCAAAAGTGTTTGCAAGGAGAATCCCAAGCTACTGCTAGGATGCAAACAAACTTGTGCTGTTTTTTAATAGCCTTGCATGTAGGATGTTGCTGCATTTTAGAGAGTATCCTGGAAACTTCAACAGGGATGTCGGGAAAAATAATACAAAAATCACAGTTCTGTGTTTGGAAACTGAGTTTTGTCCTGTGTAGTAAGCACCCTTCTTAACCCTGCTAGAGCAGAACAACCCCCTTTTCTAGCAGAAACCAGAGTTGTTGTTAATTAACGTCTTGCTGAAAACTAAGTCTTTGCCATCTGTTCCGCCACCTCACTACGAATGCCACTCTCATTATGTTGATTATGTAATTAAAAATGAAAATATATTTTGGTAGAGTGCTGCATAGGCATCTGTGCTGATTCTTCTCCTGTTCCTATTTACCATTCCCTGCCCCCATCCCATAAGAAAAGGCCACAATTGTTTGACTCCTGGGTAGCTTTATCCTGGAGCGTGGTGCTAGCTGCCAAGCTGGTGCCTGTTGTGGGAGCCGCCACTTCAACCCCGCTGCGTTTGAGCTGGGAGTCCTTTGGAAACCCTGGTGATTAGCTTCATGAGAAATCCGTGGCAGGAAGCTGCCCCTTCAACTGAAGCTGCTTTAAGTTCTTGTGAGGGGTTAACTTGAATCCAGAAGAAGAAAAGTGAAAAGAAAGAGGCCTGGTTACTTCATAAGTAATAGCATGACCTCTGAGATCAGCCAGGCTGCTCCTGTTACAAATATGGCCTCTGTCTATCTAAGGGTGGAGGAAGAGAGAAAGAGGAGGGGTAGCTTTCCTGTAAGTGGGTTAGAGCAATTACTGAGGTCTCTTGCAGCAAATGAAGTTGTCAGTGTGAGTCACATTCCCTTTTTTCTCTCACTGCCAAGTTTTAGGCAGTAACCAGACAGAGGGAGAAAAAAAAAAAAAAAAAAAGGGAAAAGCAACAATGGAGAAAAGTTGAACTGAAACAACCCTTCATTCGGGGTATTGTTTGACATTTTAGTTCTGACTGTACATAGAGATAAAGGGTCTATAAATATCCTGTCTGCTGAAATTCCTTATCACTACATCGCCTGTCAGCTGAACAAATAGGTTAGGTTCTCCAAATAATTTTGTATTTACATATGTAATTATGTGTTCCTGATTATATCCCTGCACCACATGTAATGAAGGCCTAATCACTGGAAAGGACATTAACCTTGTCTGTTGTACTGAGAGATGCCCGTCTCAGGAAAGCAAATGGCACATACAGCTGTTAGTGCTGAATCAGTGTGAGCTCCAAGACCAGGCTGAAATAAGCAAGTAGATATTTTTCTGACTGACTAGACTAGATGAAAGCATCTTCTGACACTTTTTGAAAGTATCTTGGCGTTTACTTCTGTTTCACAAATGGCTGGAAGCTTTTCTACTCTGCTTTAGAGCTTTTAATGAAGCATTGTGATTCCCATTGTGGTCAACTGCTTGACACTTTTATTATTACTGGTATGCATAGCGTTTTTTAATGTTTGACAGCTGGAGAAAGAAGTATTTTGTGCATTCAAACTTTTAGCACAAAGCTGCTGTTTTCCATTCTGCCTTTGTCTTTTATTCTTGCTGATGCAAATCAATGAAAGACAGAACTGATTAAATTACGTTTGTTTACTTTTTCCTTGATGATAATAAGACACAGCCTGCCTTTTATAAAAGACAGAAATAGAGAATGTGAATGTTTCTACAGTATTTCTAGAAAGGTTCTTTTTTTCCTTACAGTATAAAGGCATTTATTTGCTTCTTGTGTCTTGGTTTATCAGATAATGCACACTTCCTAATGTATGTGTTGTAAGAATAGAGCAATGAACAACAGTTAGCAATGGATTCCATTTGGAAACCTTCTATCTTGTTGTTTTTATTAATTCAACAGCATAAATGATCAGACCACATCACAAAACAAACACAGCAAGATACTTCTGTCCTTCACAGTAAGACTGCCTCTGATTCTTACTGTAGCTGTGCAAGTAAGTCCCCTCCATTGCAGGCTTTAGGTTTATACGTACGCAGTTGTTTTTGGGTCCTGGCTTTAGTACATTGGTATGATACTGGAAAGAAACAAGCACTGAGAGGCAGGGCTGCAGAAATAGGATACCCATGATTGTTTTGGTGAGTAATGCGCATGTCTTGTGGATTGTGTAATACTTTTTTTTTTTTTTTTGGAACACTTGTCCTGAGAAAGGAGGCCTGTGTTTGTCTGTCTTGCTTGTGCGTGCGTTTGCGAGGAAAAAGATCCTGGATCAGGAGCGCATTTCTAGAGGTCAACAGCTGCTCATGAGATAGTAGGACAAGGTCACCAGGAGCATGGAGGATTACAGCAGAAAGATTTTGGGAAGGGTAAATGGCAGAAACAGGAGAGGAGGAGAATGAGTAGAAAGGAGGTGTCAAGGAAGTCAGTATAAAACTGCCCTCATTATTATTTTTTCCTGTATTTTTCAAGCACAGAGCAAAGGACGGCAAAAGCAAAAGAAGTGTCTGAAGGCTTCTCAGCAGTGTAGTCAAACCTCCCTGTTTCACAGTTGAAACTAGTCTTAGGGAGTGATATCACATGGCAGCTGAGCCAAATCTAATGGACTGCTGGTATCAAAAGGACACTTCTGCTCCCAGCCCTCCTGCTTTCTTTGTACAGGTCTGGTGGTTGTCTGGCCCTTTGATGAGCTCATGCAGCTCAATAAACTGGAAGAAAATGAATTCTGTAAAAAAAATGTACCAGCCCAGGAAAGGAGGAGAGTTGGACACTCTGAGAATAGAGACTGGAACTGCAATGAGTGGGAGAAGTACAGACATTAGATTTTTGGTGCAAATCTGGGGTGTGCTGGGGGACGCCTCACTGCTATTCTACGCCTAACCCCCCACTTCACCTTCTAGGTGGTGCTTCCCTCAAAACAGCACAAGATGAACATGGCCTGATCAGGGATGCTGGCTGGATTGGTGCAGGGAGGTCATGCAGCAGCGTCAGCCCACATGGCAGAGAAAGGAATGAACAGGACTGCAGGAGCCCAGGAGGATGCTGTCATGGGTAAGAGGAGAGGAAGGGGAACCAAGGAGGAAAGAGGACATGTTCAGAACAACCACAGAAGGTTGCTGCAACAAGCACTGGAAAAATGCTTTAATACAGGGTAATGGTCCCATCTTCCATATCTAGCTCTTAAAGGCTTTATTCTCCTGAATCCACGTAACTGTCCCTGAGGGAGAAGTCCTGTTTATGTCCCTTATTTAGGTACACATTTCTCCAAATTGGGATTTGATAAGAGGACAGCTGCTGCATTTTTATTATCTGTGACAAGCAGCAGCAAAAGCTGTTCAGTGTTCATGATGGAAATGTATCCATATATTGGCATTTATCCAGCTGCACTTCACAAAGGTAAATGGGAAATGAGAGTGGTACGCTGCCCCCTTTTAATCCATTTTCTGTAGACGGGGGCACTTTGCCTCTCTGCATGAAAGGCCAGCACAGCTACTGTGCTAATAAACACTCATTTCTCACTGCAGCATATGCGCTTCCTAGACTCATAAATCCAGGCAACTTGTAGTTGAATAACAATTAAATATCCACACGCATTTCCATACCACGGTCTGGTGCGCAAGGCATAGGCCTAAGTGGCTGGACATCTGCTGTTTTCTCTCCCACACGTACTGTTTGGCAGAGCATAATGACTTAATCTTACCCTACCGCCATTAATGGTATCTTGAAAATTGGATGCAGAGCATCATCCTGCAGATATTTTGCCATATCCTTCAAAAAGAGCGGTGCTCTCTCTCTTGCTCTTTTTTTTTTTTTTTTTTTTAGGCAGTCATTATTGTAATAGGAAAAAATACTTTTCCTTGCTGTTGGTTCTTCTCTCAGGATTTCCAGGCCAGGGATTCAGTTTGGCTCTGTTAACATCAGTTGGAAACGAGACATCATATTGAAAAGTTAGTTGAGATGCAGGATGCTGATAAGTCCTCACAACAATTTTGTGCCACTTGTACAAAACCCAGAGCCTCGGTAATGCAGTAAGATAAATGTAGTGCTTGATTACAATGGATGTATTGCACTTCTAAAAGGCATCTCTTATCATTAGGCTCTGCATATCTGCAGTAATAACCACCATATGTCAAGTAAGACAATGGTAATGTGAGCCAGATAATTTTCCCATTGTCAAAACTTTCAAATCCAAAAAGCTACAAATCTCTTAATTATTAATTCAATTTAGCTAGATCTAGTGCTGGAGGCCGGATGGAACATCTTTCTGAGGTTCAATCTTTCCCCTGGTCTAGCTGATAGTCATGCAGCAGAGTTTAAAATGTTATAGCCATTTAAAGAAGAATTGCATGCAGTTGTTACCCATCTTGAATTTCCGTGCAGCAGGATTACCACAGGAAACTGCAGAGTTCAGTGTTCCCATTTGTCCCAGAAAGCTTGAACAAACACTTAAGCTCGCTCTGAACTTAACAAGCCTCCTTCAACAGTGAAGCTCTATGAGCCACAAGGCTTGTCTCTGCATTGTTGTTGTTTAGTTACCTGTCAAAATGCTTCTTACCTATAGAACTGGCAGAAACCTTGAATTTCCTCCCCGAACCCCACCCCGTGTGCCTGTCATCTGCAGAGCAAGTCCTAGCCACGATCACAAGAACATCCTGAATCGGTCTCAACAATTTGCATTTCCTTGCCAAAGATCTTATCTGCTGGGGGTGCAAATTGCACCATCAAGGTTGCTGGTGTTGAAACATCTGCACCCTTCTGCTCCCCAGCTCTACTTTTTCAGGCTAGGATAATTTATCCAGAAGAATTAATTGAGACAACAAAACTGTCAAGTGAGAAAGGCCACACAGTGAGAGAGCACTGCTCTGAACATCTGCACCATTTGTATTTTTGATGAGGTATCTCAGCACTTGCTGAGGTATTGTTAGAAGTAAATCTTACTTTCGCCGTTCTCATATAAAGCTCTGTGCTATAATTCTGCAGATGTTTGCTCTCTATATACCTACATTGTTTAAAGAAATGACAGATGCTGATAGTAAAAATTGTATTTTCTCACTCAAACATCTTGCTGGTTTGTTTACATATAAGAAAAATCCTATGCCGGGCTCCAATCACCTCAGAAGAGTTGCAGCACGGACTTCAGAGGGAGGTGGATGGGGCCCTCAAAATTTGCTTCTCTCTCACAAATAGTCGCCTGATTTAGATAATGAAAACCTTTTGTTTATAATGACAGATGCCACAGGGGGTTGTATATTTGGGCATTATTTTTTCTCTAGGAGAGTTTGTTAACAAATGCTTGAAAGTTTTATGATGTGGTAAAAACTGTATCTCTCATGATAAACAGGAAGCGCTCAGAGGTATTGCATTACCCCTGTAACGCAACACAGATTCCAACAGCTTGACTCTTTTTTTTGGTTTTTTTTTTTTTCAGACTACTGTGACACCACTTCCTTCAGGAAATCTCTCTTGTCTGCACAACTCTTATCTGCTATAGATATGCAAAACTGCAAAAGAAATGGTTGTTTTAAAAATGAATGATGATTCATCAATTTCGGACTGTAGAAACGGATGTCTGTAACTCATGGAGTATCTACTGAAAATATACAGTACAGACTCTTTGGCCCCTCAGGTCAGTGAATTGAACAGAGTGCAAGAAGAGACTGGTATCTTCCACCCCTCCTGCAGCACAGGTGCACTTAGGGAGCAAAGATGCAGATTTCCCTGCAGGTGCTTGAAGTGTGTCTCAGCCATACACCTGGAGCACCTCTTCAGCAGCTCAGTGTCAGCCAGGCCAGTGAAGGAGAAGAGGCAGTCCTGCTTCCTTGGTGCCTGCCGAGACTAGCAACAGGAAAGCTAAGTATGACAGTTCCTATGTGGAACCAACCTTACATTCCAAGTAACTGTGCTATGGCCTCCAACGTGTTCGTAAAGGCTGTCACGCACTTGTCATGTGATGCATCACTGTTGGCTGAATTCCGAACCCTGGTGACTTTATGTGAAAATCTCAGAATCCCATTAGTGTATTGTTCCCTGTCCCTTGTTTCTGTTCAGCTATTGCCCATCTTTTAGACTAAATATAATATCAGTAGACACCTAGGAAGTATACCTGTGCCATCGCAAAATCACTGGCTACACGGGTATTTGTGATGAACACCACCCCAGCTGACAACAACAGCCGTGAAAGCAAGTCCTGGGAAGCTCTTTTTAGGAGGTCTGGCGTCGTTCCCCAGACCGGTTCCCCATGAAGGGCCTCGTGTGGCTGCCAAGTACTTCACTTGCACAAAGCCAGATGCAGTGGGGTCTGGATAGCACCCCCCCAACTATAACCCTTCTGTTCCAATAGCTCATTCCCACTACCTGTTCATTTTACTTTTATTTTACATTCTCCCCCACCCCCATTCTCTTTTATTCTTTCCATCATCCTTTCTCCTCTGCCCTCGCACGAGCCAACCACTTCATCACAAATGTTCCCTACATTTTTATCTATGAGCAAGAAGTATTAAGAAGTTACTGCAATATCTGGACAACATAAATCCCTAATAATCCTGTTTCTACATTCTCTGACTTCTGCCTCTGTTGGAGGCATCACTTGTCCTGTCTACAGCTGAACTGAGAACAAGTAGGGGAAACAGACTGCATATTTTAGTATTTGTAAATTACTAGACTTCTGAGGTTTTGTAATAATCTTATCTCCTTTTTTGTATTATCCTAGCAATCAATGATATCAGAAATACAGAGATCAAGAGACTGATACTATGCACTAGCTAAATCTTTTTGTAAAAACTTAATAGCCTTCCAGTGCCTAAAGCTTCAGCACAAGAAAACAAAGGTCTTCAGAAAGAAGATGAGAAGAAAACAACCAGGACTTCAGTGGCATCCTCACAAGTCACTGTAATATTCTGTATAAATATTGTCTATATATATGTTTTGTTTTGTCAGTCCTGTAAAATAACATTTTATCTGGTTGTTCAATTCTCTTATCACCCACAGCTTGTTTACTCAATTTTAAGTCTTGGGTAAGATGAAGCAAGCTCATGAGGAGTAGTTGGTTTTCAGAAGATACCAAGCTCCAGATAACTGAGGACAAGTAAAGCACACAGCAATATTGAAATCACTCAGAGTTTTATTGCAGCTGACTGAGACAGAGTGTGCTTTGAGGCTGGGAAATTTCCATTACTGAAGTGCAGGACAGTGCCTGAATATTGCTGCTACTGCAGCTGAAAAATAAAAGCAACTTAATTTTATATAGACAGCAACAAAATGTCAGCATATTAATTAAAATTGTTAGAATTATATAATAAGCTTTTAAGGCTGCTGTAAAATTGATTGTTTTAAAAACATTTAGAGTGCAATTGTAAACGACTTGTACAAAACCAAGGAACATACAAATGACTTGAAACTGCAACTGTGTTTTCAAACCATATTTGTGAACAGCAAATCTAACAAGAACATGATAGATAATACACGACATCTCCTACAACAGTGACAGATTCTGACAGTGACAGAACGATACCCAGTGCAAGATTAAGGTTGTTACTGACAGAATAGTTCTTCAATTAATAATCTTTTGCGCTCCCCTTGGCATGCACAAAACAAACATAGCAATCTGTATACTAATTTTAACTCCACGGTGTATAAGCCCCCTCCAAAGTCAGTCAGAATGCTGAATACTGGGGGGAAAAAAAGTAGATTTGTTTTGGCATCAGTTGCCCAGCAGTTTGGGTGAGAGACTGTTTTTAACTTCCCAATGGTGTAAGATTACAGTGAGATCCTCATTTTTGTTGAGGTCACTTCACACTATCAAAGCAGCGGTCGACATTTAACTGGAAGTCAGTCTCAAGGGATTTCAGCTGTATGTCACCAGTTAAATCAAGCCCAGGTAGGTGCTGACTAGGAGTTATTAGCATCTGATGCTCTTTGTGAATCTTAGGATAGTTCCCTGTGGATCAGAGCTCATATCTAAGCAATTTAAGTTTGTGTCACGTTTATCACCATGGTTCCTGAGTGCCTTAGAAGTTAAAATATATCTTTATAAAACATCTTACATGTCTTATTTCTCTCTCTTGTCACCCCCGCACAGAGGCTTGAGGTCTTTTAAAATAATGCTGGGAAAACTGTTTTATATACTTAATGCCTGCATTTTGTTGGGATGATTGAGAGGTTCAGGGTCCTGCTGAGGTACTCTGAAAGCAAATGCCGTGCTCCTACAGCAGCTACCAAGAAAGCTGTGTCCTCAATGTCCCCATGCAAATAATACAACTAACGTAATGATGATGATTTTGGGAGATGCAGCTTTAAGTTAGCAAAAAAAAAATTGAAATTGCTCCCACTCCCAGTAAAGAGTGGCACTGTAGGGCAGCTACATTAAGTGTTTGTCCTTTGCCTAAACCTGATAATGCTGTTTCCAGGACTCGTAGGGCCTTTTGTAGTATGACATTTACTTTTCAAGAGATCTATTTACAGAACACGAAGTTAACAGTTAAAGAAGGTATGTAGAACAGTGCGGAGAATTTCTAAACCCTGACTGAAGGATGAACTCATCCATGTGACTCCTGAGCTTGATATGAAGGTGGAGATAGTCCAAAACATGGCATATTTAAACTGACCAATTGTATGGCTTAGCTGTTTCCTAATACAGCTTTCAAACTGAAATACTGTGTTTCTGTTTGGACAAACTCTTCTTATCCGTGCTTTTACTTCTATTTGAAATAAAAGGGTTTTTTTTTTCTTTCTGCTTTTCATTATCTGCTATTATTTTTTAGTAAGTATCTTTTCCCTCCAATATAACCCTTTATTTTGATCACGGAACTAATAATTTTCTTAAAACACATTTACGTTCTTTCCAGAACTGAGGTTTTAATGTCATCTTGTAAGGCAAAAGAACCCAACATTAAGTGCAGGTAATGGCAGTGTATTTAAATAGGTTGAAAAGCAATTGATAACACTTCTGCCTGGTCTGCCTATTTCAGTAGCTGTAGTCCTTCACTGAAATACTCACAGTAAGTTCTGTCACAGGAGGAGTTGTTGGGAAAGCATGCCATAGCCTTTTGACCACTTTTTTAATTGGATTAGACATATATTTGAACACAGCACTCAAAGGAGCTGACAGTCTTTCCACAATTTCCTGGTCTGCCTGGTTGGTTTCCTTTTTGATCAGACACGTCCTGGTGAAGGTAAAAAAATAATCTAAATACACGACAGTTTTTAATTAGATTTGCTATGACAGGTTGTGTTTAAGCTAGATTCTTTATAATAACTTGTTTTGCATTTGCTGATGACAGATTTATTTATGTATGTAATCAGAACTGTAAGCATAATTTCATTTTTAGAGTTAAGAGAACCTTTTAAATAGTATTTTACTTGGTTTTAGAAAATTTAAACATTTATTCACGTTTACTGCTGTCTAAAATTTATGAGAAAAATAACGCCGTGTTTCTAAAGTACAGAACACATCATGGAAGGGAAAGCATTATCTACAATTAAAAATAAATACAGCAGAAGCATTATCCCACTCAAATACATAAAACCTCAAGTGGTATAGTTGAATGTCTGTTAAATACAGAGGGGTTCATTAGATTATGTTGGTCATCCACAACAGCTTTCACTCCATCCAACTGGGCTGGGGCTGCATCTGAAGGCCAGACCCTGCTGGGTATGTCTGCTGCAGTTTGGCTAACCGGCTGCAACACCAAACCCCGTAACTCTTCCCTCTTGTCTTCTGGTCAAACGCAAGCCTGATATTTTGGGGGATGCTAGTAAATTGTAATCAGGAGACTGGGCAGAATCTGGAAGCAGCTACAGAAAACTGCAATTGTTCAGTCGATGGCAAAGGAGGCTGGCTTGCCCCAAGTAGTGAGAGAAGGTGGGATGACAGAAACGACCCTGTGGCAGTTGGGAGAAGGAAGAGAAAACACTGGCAGGGACACCTCGTCAAAGACAGACATGAAGCAGGATTTCCGGAAGAGTTGTCAGTAGTAAAAATGTCAATAGAAAGAGCAGAGCTGAGAGAGAAATGTGTAAAGAAAGAAGAGGGTAAAGTACAACTGGTGAGAACCTGAGAACAACTGGATTGTCATGTATAACAGCTTCTGGCCGAGTGCTGTTACAGAGGAATGCAAAATGAGTAAATAGTTCCAAGAAAAAAGCTTTATTGTCAAGGGGTTATTGGATGATTCCACACTGGGATCTTCTGACAGACTGGGAGGGGTATAAACATAGATACGGGCATGCTAAGATGTATAAAGATGTGCATTTGAATGAATTTTCAAAGCAACAGAACACACAGCGCACCTCAAGCAGCTTCAGAGGCAGGGTTAAAGCAAGCAGCAGTAGGATTTCAGATCAGGGGTTAATACTTTTTGCCAAGATCATTAGAAAATTGCAGAAAAAAAATTCGAAGCGGAGTTAGGATCCTTGTGCATAACTTTTGCAAACTTCCAGATCAAGCAAAAGTTATTTTAGGAAAGCTGAGCCTTGCAGGAAAACAGAAAAGATACGATGTTGTTGCAAGCAGCAACTGTGGCGTGATACAAACCATCATCAACTACATTTTCACCTCCCATTCAAAGCCTTGAGTTTATTTATATGGGAAGCAACTAATAGGAAAATATAATTCTATATAAAAACATGCTAAATAGAGGTTGCAAAACTATGCACTGAAGTTAGGAAATGTCAGAACTGAGCTTGCCCTTATTACAGTAATTCGGCGCTGCCACCATGCCCCTGCGCTGCGTGACATCAGACGGCTGTCGCGCAGCCGGGAAGCGCGCACAGCCCCCCGGGGTCTCCGCGCAGCGCCCGCACACGAGAGCGGCCCTTCCCCTCCCTGCCGCTGACTCACGGCGCCTCACCGCGCGC